CCCACTTTCAGCCAGCTAGGGTTAGTCACGCGGTAACGGTACAACGGTAACGAATTTATCCTTGTGTCCGGTCCCCGCTGTGGGTTTTGACTCCTTTCTTACCGACCCACGGGCGTCCCCAGAGGGAACCGACCCTGTCATGAGACGAACAGTCGAACACGCTCCCTCTCACATATTTTAAGTTAAAGGAGACTCAGTTCGCTCGCGTTGCTTGTGGGATCACGGGCGTCGGGATCCAAAGCAACCCCGTCGGCACATCTCTCCCCTGTCCGTCTGAGTGCGGAGTGGGGCGCAGAGCACGCAAACGGTGTTGATGGGCGGCGTTGGTCAGCCGCGGAGGATCTAATGCTTAAGGCCCCCGGGTGGGGATAACTTTAGGCAACACTTCCCACTGGACCAAACGCTACCCGGTCGGTGTGTTTCGGGATCAGACCCCATAGCATGGGATGAGACCAAAACGCCCCCAACCGGATTCCAAGGCTCCTTCCCCAGACCCCCCGGTACCACGAATTTGGCAAACCGGGCAAAGGGGGATAGTCGCGTTCCATGGGTGTCTTTGCCAATTAAGGACGACCCATCTAGCCCTGAGGGCAGAGTTGCTTGAGCGCATTATTATGCGTGCCCAGCACTCTGGTGACCTTGGAGGCAGAACGCACCAGCCTCCTAGACCAGGCGACATTTTTACTGGTGGGCCACCGCACATCTACGTGCGACACCCCCTAGTGTTGCCTGGCTCGCTTGGCCAGGGCCACTACTGTGCTACGAGACACGGCCTTAGACGCACATGTTTTCGCCGACAAGCTGAGCCGGGGTACGTCCCCACCTCAGTGACGCAGACTGGACACCCTCCACCCTCTTTGTTCAGGGAATGGTGGGTACAGTCTCGGAGCTTCGGAGTGCAATGAATCGGGGTTCAGATCCAATCCGCTAGCCAGTTGGTCCTGCCATGGGCAAGCGGAGGGCACCCCAAGCACAGAAAACGCAACGCCCTAGGGCGTTGTCTGCTAGCCAGAGTCAGCAGGAGGCAGCGCTTATACCTTTCCATGGGAAG